CAGCAATATAATTGGTACAAAACCCCAAAGTTGGTAACACACTCTCCCACAAGAATATACATAGTCAAGGGAAAAGCAGGTTCAGCAAAGGGTGTTCTCACCGCTTAAAAGCACATGTGACAAGGAAAGGGAGGTAACACAGCTTCTACAAGTCCTTTTACCAGAGTCCTCAAATTATTCCCCTTAAGTATCGTATAGATTTTCTGCCAGGTTCCTTATAGAGCCTTACATCTCCTTTCTTCAAATAGTTTATCTTCACTTTCTGATGCCATTACTGTCATCAACTGTTCAGAAATATTGATGAGGAGAGAACTATATTAGGTTCTCATCCTTATTTAGGCAAACCCTTCTATTTCCTTCCAAAGATTCCAATAGGGCATTGTCTCCTGATCTCTTACCCCTTTCACGATCCTGGTCACCCTTCTTCTGCATGCATTCCAGTTTGTTAATGTACTTTCAGATTGACAGTTCCAGAATCAGACACAACACTGTAGCTATGCTATGACCACAACAGTTTAAAAATGATATTATCATTCCCCTCATTCTAGATGCTAGGCCTTTATTATTTAAAACTTTCAGTCATGTAATTTTTTTTAGAGCACTCTAGTTCCAAATTCTCTCCCTCTCTCCCACTCCTCCCCCACCCATTGAAAAGGCAAGTTATATGATATCAATTATACATGTGAAGTCATGCAAACCATATTAGCCATGCTGCAAAAACCAAACCAAACCAAACCCAACAATCTTTTTTATTAAAAGCAAAAAATATACAGAAAGTGAAAAAAAAAAGTATGCTTCAATCTGCACTCAGAGTTCATCAGTTCTCTCTCTGGAGGTGGGTAGTATTTTTCATCACGGTCTTTTAAATTGTTTTGGATCATTGTATTGATCAGAGCAGCTAAATCTTTCACAGTTGATCACTGTTATAATGCTGTTACTGTGTACAATATTCTCCTGTTCACTTCACTTTGCATCAGTTCATATAAATCTAAGTTTTTCTGAAACCATCCTGCTCCGTCTTTTCTTATAACACAATAGTATTCTATCACAATCATATACCACAACTTGTTTAGCCAGTCCCCAGTTGATGGGCATCCCCTCAATTTCCAATTCTTTGCTATCACAAAAAGAGCTGCTATAAATATTTTTGTTCATATAGGCCTTTTCCCTTTTTTTTGATCTCTTTGGGATACAGACCTAGTAGTGGTATTGCTAGGTTGTGAAGGGTATGCACAATTTTATAGCCCTTTGGACATAGTTCCAAATTGTTCTACAGAATGGTTGGACCAGTTCACAACCATACTAACATTAATATACCTATTTTTCCACAGAGGAAGAAAATTTTTAAAATTAAGCAAACTGATAAACACATTAAAAAACCCCCGATATTATATGCAAAGTTCTATATCCAGGAATACTTCCTTTCTCTACTTCTACAAATAAGGAAAATGCATTTACTCATCTTTTCTTCAGTGCCAAATTTGGTTATTATAATCATATGGTGTTCAGTTTTGGTTATTTCTCCCTCTGAGCCCATTAATTTTACAGATGAAAAAACTGGGGTCTAAAGAAGGAAAAATAACATATCCAAGGTCATACAGGTAGTAAACAGCAAAATTCAAATTTGACCCCAAGTGTTTTGTCTCCACATCTTGTACTCCTTCTTTTCAACATTCACTTTTATAAGATTTTGAGTTCCAAATTATTTTCCTCCCTCCCCTCACTCCTCCCCAAGACAGCATACAATCTGATATAGGCTATACATGCAAATCTTGTACTCTTTCTATTATACTAGTCAAGTTAGCTATGACCTGAGAATACTAACAAAAGCCCTTATTCATCTAAGGCAGGGGTTCTTAACCTTTTCTGCGGAATAGACTACTTTGGCTGTCTGGTAAAGCCTATGGCCTCTTCAAAGTCTGTTTTAAAAAATTTTAAATCAAAAAATTATTTTTACAATATTAAATTTAATTATTAATTATATAGTATAATAATTATATAATAAATTATAACATATAATTTATTATAATAATGCATACAATGTATAATATATTATGTATAAATTAAATAAGTACAATATTAAAACCTTTATATTAAATTATTTAAAAATAAAAAATTTAAAAAATTCTTCAATTTAAAAAATTGAAGAAAATACTAAATTTCAGTTTGATATTAGTGAAAGTAAAGATATAATTTCTTTCCCATCCAAGTTCATGTACCCATTGAAATCTATCTGTGGACCGGAGTTGAGAACCCCCTGATCTAAGAGTTTGGAACTCCAGTGTTGATGTGATCCTATATGTGTGATAGGGGCAATCCTTAGTTCCTCACCCAGAGTATCAATTTGCTAAGTATCTGTGACTTGTTGGATGCACAAACCCTTGAAGGCCAATACGTTGGCCAGATTTGTTTGCCCTAAATCTCTTTATGTCCATCCCAATCTCAATTAGAAAGTGTTCAGCTGTCCTTGAGAAAGAGGGCCATAACTCACACAAATTTCCAATTAAAATGTTAATATGAGTAAAGTGCTTTGTATACCTTAAAGCACTACACAAACCCATGTTATTGTTATCAGGCCATCATCAAGCTCACCATTTGATATCTGGTCTTGTCAATCAGTTTCTGTGCAATTTCTTCCATTCACAAAATTTGTATTTTTAAAAGAACAAGATACAACTAGCACATTATTCTTTGTAACCACTTCTAAGTATCTCGAAGAGTTGATTAATATAGACTTTCTGAAATGTGTATTTAATTAGGTTTTGTCCTCATTTTTAGGAGCAGTCCCAGGAATTTGTCCTGCTTATGAGCCTGTGGTTGCCACTATAAATTGGATGGAGGAGAAACTGATTTAGGAAGAAATTGTTGGTAAAAGAATAGGGAGTTTGAGAAGTCCTTTCATCTCTGACACTTTCTTGGAACAGAGATTCAGAACTCATCCTGCAAGCCTAATTCTCTTTCATTGTAACGTTAATAACAATAATGACAACTGATTTCTACAGAATGCATTTTCACTTTTTAAACTTTTCACTTTTTCACTAGAGAGTAGTTGTATATTTTTGGTTGGTGATACAGGCTGTGCCATTTATTGCTATTATTTACAAACATTATTACAAACATTTATCCTCTTTTGAAAAGTTTAACTTTTTAGTTGTTTATAATTGAACAGCTCCCTGGACTGATAATACCTTGGGTTCCATTCCATTGACCAGCACTGAGTCAGAGAGCCTAGGTTAAAATCCTGCTTCTCCAATTTATCACCCATAAAGAGAAAGTGTTTAATTGTTCTTAATTGTTCTTTATTTCCGTTTTCTTTCATAGGCCTGAGTAGGTTGGGCTATTAGATTAGGCGTTTTTTAAACTTTTTGGTCTTAGGATCCCTTTACATTCTTAAAAATTATTGAGGATGTTAAAGAGTCTTTTTTTTTAATGTAGCTTCTGTCTATTGATATTTGCCGTATTAGAAACCAAAACATCTTAGTTTTGATCTCAAGGACTCCCCTCTTTGAAAATCCCTGGCCTGAATGATTTTCAAGTCCTCTTCGGTTTTCAACCTTAAGTTTCCCTGTCTGTAAAATGTGAGGGTTAGCTTTAGATGATCTCTGAGGTCACCTGAGAACTCTTCCAAGTTCTAAGTGATTGCCATCTCCACCTGTTGAAATCCTAGCTCTCCTTTAATGCTCAGTTCAGAGGCTACCTTTTCTAAGAAGGTGTTCTAATGGACTCCACAGCAGCAATTCATCTCTCTTGTAGCACTTCTGCCTTATATCATAGTTTTGGGTTTGAGGACTTTTGTTTTCTTGGGCTTATTTCTTCTGCTGCATTTTAAGATTTTTGAGGGTAGGAACTTCACTTTTTTTTTTTTTTAATCTGGTCAGTACCTCGAAGAAGAGGCTCAAATAATGATAAACGAACGCACCTATACAATTCGTTCATTTATCCTCTCTCTTCCACGCTAGCCTAAACCCCGCATTAAAACCGCTAGACTTTAAGGGGAGACAGTCTCGGGACAATACTTCAGGCAGCTGTCTTGCTGAGCACATGTCGGTATACCAGTCTGCCACTCCTCTGCTCACATCTCTCATCTCGAGCCCAACGGTGTTTTCTTTCTAACTCTGATCTAACTTTGATCCCCGGGCAAATAACGAGCAAGGCTCCTTCCCCTGTATTCCCTGCAACAGAGAGCCGAAAGCAGCTCTAAAAAAAATTTCGAGGGCAGCCACATACTGCGGGGTGGAAGTTCCCAGCCGGCCCAGGAACAAAGGTGGGGGGGTGCCCCGAGCTCCCCTTGGGGGGTGGCGAGAAGCCGCAAAGGTCTGCTTGAGTCCAAGATGGCAAGGGCGAAGCCACGAGCTCAGGGAGGGCAAGCAGGAGGCAGGGGCACGGCAAGGAAGCCCTGGGGACGGGCATCCCCGCGGACCTTGGCTTCTTTCTTGTTTCCCCTTCTCTCCCACAATCACCCAAGGTCACAGCGGGAAGGGACTTCGGGGGCAATCTGAAGCCAACCCTAGCGTTTTACAGACGGGGAAACTGGGGGCCCCCAGAAGCAGTTACGGAACTCGCTCTAGGAGGCTCTGGGAAGGGATGGGACCTAACTTGGCGGGGACCCGAGCCCCAGGTTTGGGGGGAAGGGAGAGAGGAAACGTCGGTTGGAGACCAGGAAGTAGCAGGCTGTGGGGGAGGGGCCGGGCGTGGCTCGCAGCCTGAGGCTCGGCGCCCAGCTCCTCGCCCGGGGTCGCCGCCCTTCCGCCCAGCAGCCCTAGCTGCGCGGTCCCGTTCTCTCGTTTTCTTCCGCCTTTCCCCCAACCCCTCCCTAGAAGCGCGTGCCCGGTTGCGGGGCACGCGGACTGGGCGTGGCCAGTCGGGCTGACGCTCAGGGCGGGGCCCGGTTTGGGAGGGGGCGGAGCGCGTGGACGGCGCTGTGAGAAGCGTGCGTGCGAGCGTGCGTGCGTGCGTGCAGCGCGTGGGGCGCGGCGGGGAGCGCGCTGTGCGCCAGGCGGATGTCCGGGCCGGCAGGGCCGGAGCTGGGGAAGGAGATGGCGGAAGGCGGAGGTTGCGGGCAGCGGCCGGACGCGGAGACCCAGAAATCAGAGCTCGGGGCCTTGATGAGGACGGCCCTTCAGCGAGGGGCACAATGGTGAGACCTCGAACCCCAGCCACGGAGGGCATGTGTCCTGGCGCTGGCACCTGGCACCTGGCAGCCGCTCCCGTGGTCCTCACTTCCCGACCCAGGCCCTGACCTGCAGCCTTCCCAGGCCTTCGGCCCAAGCCTGCCCTGCGGTTTTCCTTTCCCTTTTCCCGGCCGGCCTCCCTCGTAGCCGCTGCCGTCCCTTCTGTCCAAGGCCAGTCTCATAGCTTCTCTACACCAGCCCAGCCCCGCGGCCTTCCCGGGTTCCACCTCGGCCCAGGCCTGGCTCCGGAATCTTCTCAATTACCCTCCCCCTACCCCACCTATCGACTCACCTTTCCCTTGTCTCCAGCCCAGGACGGACCCTGAAGGCTTTTTCTCCTCCCTTCCCTAAGTTCAATGAGGCTCTTATGATCCTGCCTTAAATCATTTCCTTTAGCTCCCTCAGGCCTTTTTCTTGAAGCCTCTTACCTGATCCTCCTTTAACGTAGGGCCTGACACTTAGTAGGTAGACATTTGGTAAATACTTGTTGACTTCTCCATTTGACATGCCCCATGTTTTCTTGTTCCTCTCGAAGGTTTCACATCTTCACTTGTAGATATGTTCTAGATCTCCATTTACCTTATTTTCCATTATCCTTCCCTATCCCAAGCCCTCCCCCTGAATAATTTTGGACCCTTAAATGCTGAAACTTTCCTGGGAGGTACCCTATTGCAGAGGGTGGTAACCCTCCTTGCCTCTTCCTAATTGGCATGAACACCCTGGAGGAAAGTAGGTTTGAGGTGAATTTTGAAGGGAGTGTGTAAGGAACTGGGTTGTGAGTAAGCATAGACAGGTGCTCCTGGGAGTGGGAGCTGGAATAATGAGAGCAAGGAATGAAGAAACTTCTTTGAAAGGAGGGTGTGGGGAAAGATGAAAGATGTTGCCTCTGCCACTTGATTGGTTGAGGACTTGTAAGCCCAAAACAAATAACTTGCATTAATAGAAGGATTATGGGAACTGTGAAGTGTTTTGGAGAGAGAATTGATAGGACCAAAGGTAATTTTGGAGTTGGAGAGAAAAGTATCCAGGAAGCAGAACTGAGTTGTATTCTAGATAGTAGGTGACCAAGGCTTACATTGGGATTTGGTGTTTGGTTATTTAGAGGGAGAAATGGAGCCATGAATCTTTATAGTCCTGATAGTGCAATGGATGGATGATGGCATAATGTGAAAGATCAAATGAGGTAATGTGTACTGTGCTTTGCAAGCCTTAAAGCACTGTATACACTATATAAATGCTAGCTGTTTTAAGAAGCAATTAACTTTGACTACTGAAAAGCTAAATATGATGCTCAAATTTTGTCAGTAAAAAGGAATGAAAGTGATGTAAGGTTGAGAGTGGGAATATGTCTTGCACATATTGGGTGTGTGTGTTGGGCTGGACCTGTGATTTAAAGTGTGTTGTGTATACTTCCTTACCAACAAAGAGGGGCAACTCTTCTGTAATTTAGAGAGTTGTATGGAGTTTTCAGAATTTAGGTGACTTGCTCAGGGTCACACTACTGGTAAATGTTGGTGGCTGGATGCCTTTCTCTCTCCTCTTTTCTGATTCCTTGGCTCTCCATCTATCTACTAACTCTCAGTCCACAGCCACACTGCCCATCACTTTGCACTTAATGAGTTTGTTGAATTTAGTGACACTATGTAAAGTAATAGTAAAGTTAAAGAGTTTGCAGTGAGCTGTTAGCTCAGGAGCAGGGCCAAACCAAACTAGCTCCAGGGATAGGTATATTTAGAAGTTGTTTGCATGGTGGTAATTCAGAACAAATTCTAAAGACAAAAAGGTTCTGGAGACTCAGAAAGTGAACCAATGCATATCATTGTTTCCTTGAGAAGAGGATATTTATTATATTAACAAAACCCTAGATTCTGAGTAGCGTTCTGATGAGGCTTGTAAGGAAATGTATAAGATCCTTCTAAACACGCTCTGCATCATACTGTTAGAATCACACAAAAGTTTTTAAAATGCAGGTTTTTGATTTTCAGAAGTGAATGAGGCAGTAGGATGACAGGCAAAGTACATTACATTTATTAATTACATTTATTCATCTTCTGCTCTCTGCTAGAGCATTGTGATACTCAATGGAAAGGATATACAAAATTTATGTAGAAGACAGACCCTTCCCTCATGGAGCTTACAGTTTAACCAACAGTAACATTTCCAAAATTATTAGGGAAGAATTTCAGTAAGATCATAGCAGTGTCACAGGCTTCATTGCCTGACACAAAGAAATTGATTACAGAATAATGCATTTGAGGGTATTTAATCATAAAAATTCTTCATTACTTTCTAGAATATACAGATGTCATAATTCAATTAGGAGGTTAGAGAGTTGAAGTTTGGGATTGTATGCTAAACTTCACCGCTGTATGACCTTCTGAATTTGTTTGGAGAATTGTGTATGAGGATCTAATACAGTTCTATGTATATGGTACTTACTGTTAGTCACTGTATTAGTGAAAATGGAATATAGGAATGTACTAAGTTTTCACTGATCTAGGTGGATGTAAGTAGTTCTGTGGTTTCAGTTTCTTCCCTGAACTCATTAGCTTTTAGTAAATCCTGGGGGATATACCCCAGAAACTTGTGTTTTGCAGCTCTGCAGAGATTTTTTTTCCTCCACATTTAGTTGTAATATTTATTGGAAGTGCTTAAAACACACATGCCCCAGATTTGCTATAAATTTCCCTAGCTATAAAAAGTAGCAGATTGAATGTAAAAGGATAATTATATAGCTTGGCAAGAGAAAGGGAGCACAATTGGCACATTTCTATAAATACTAAAAGCCTTACTTAATGCAGCATATGGGTAGGCTTCTGTTTGAATGAGCTTGAAGGGCTATCAGAAATATTACAGTACAGTTAAACCTACTGAAAAATAGAAACTTATTGCTTCTCACATTTGCAAAAAAGTATAGTATAGTATAGATCAGAGCAGAATGTTACCTTGAGTAAATATTTCATTTTACAACCCCGAATTGGACCCATTTTGCTCATCTCAAGCCCCAAGTTTTTCTTTATTGGGATAGCTTGGAGAAGTGACTGTGAATCCATATTTATGGAGTATACATATGCATTGGAGAAGCTTTTGCCTCTTGAGCAAATTTTCTACATTAGTCAAATTTTGTCTATTTTTCTAGGTATCTGATTGACAGCCGGTGGTTCAAGCAGTGGAAGAAATATGTGGGCTTTGATAGCTGGGATATGTACAATGTGGGTGAAAACAACCTGTTTCCTGGCCCAATAGATAACTCCGGACTTTTTTCAGGTAAAATGTTAAATTGCCTCTTGGAGTGTTCAGGCAGGACTGTGGACTAAGAGAGAGCGTTTGCTACCAGCAGCATTTACATTGTGAGCCAGACTTCCTTTGGTTTGGATATATGTGGAAGTGAGGCTCACATCAAAGGTTGAAAATTGATGCTTGTGGTTATATGTATAGGGAAAACTTTGTCAAAATGTCAGGAGGAAATTGAGCTACTTTCCTCTGGCTGAATGGGATTGACAACTTTAAAAATTTTTCCTTTTTCCTTTTACATACTTATTGCAGCATTATGTTTTCAGGAGGTTGGAAAGGATAGAAAAAATCAGAAACATAAACTGAAACCTTTGAAAATTGCAACTGATAGTCTGTCCATGGGGAACTTTGGTTTTCTGAGAGAACTGCTTTCTAAATGGGACAAATGGTAGGGTCAGTTAGCATTATTAAAGCCTTCCTTATCTCTCTGACTCTTAGGTGAGATTCGGCATGGAGGCAGTAAAAATAGTGTGGGGACAGAAAATCTACATCAAAGCCAGGCTCATGAGCTTCAAACAATGGATTGGCCAGGGTCAAAATTACACATGATAGACCATCCAAAGCATCTCATGATCTTGTCTCTCATCTGAATAAATTATGTAGAGATTATGTCTTTTTCTTTTATATTAAGACTCTATCTGAAGTCTTTTTTTTTTAATGTGGAAGTGAGAAATATTCATGTTAGGAAGACATTGTGATATATTTGAAGAGCTCGATTTGGGGATAGGATACCTGAGTTTAAATCCCAGCTTCAATACTTCCTAGCAAGTCATTTAGCCTTTCTGAGCTTTAGGTTCATTATCTGCAAAATAATGATGATGAAACCTCATAAAGTTGTTAATAAAGTATTTTGTAAACCATAAAATGTTATATAAATGTGAACTATTATTAGAGGAAGTCTGTCTCTCTCTCTCTCTTTTTTGTGTGATGCGATTGGGGTTAAGTGACTTGTCCAGAGTCAAATTTGAACTCAGGTCCTCCTGATTCTACAGCTGGTGCTCTGTCCACTGTGCCACCTAGCTGCCTCTCAGAGGAAGTTTGTTGACAGAACTTGTTGGAGCATTCATTTGGAGGTGATAATTTGTCAATTACAAAACCACTCTTTTTTAGGGGAAGGCTTCAGAATGAGACTCTGTCTGAGAAAGGTTTCAATGACACTGTTCATTCCATTTCTGTTTTATTTTATTGGTTACAATTTATAAGTGGTGATGATAACCACTGATCAGGAGGTCCCAAGAGAGTCAGAACTGTTACATTGAGTTCATACTTAGCTTCTTTCTTTAAAAAAAAAAAAAGTTTTTATTCTGGACTTAACAAAACAATGAGTATTTCCATTTTCAAAGTGGAACAGAAAAAATTTGTATATGAAACTGTGACTCTCTTATGTACACTTTGCTTTTCTTTTTTAGTGTATAATTCAACATGTAATTTTCAGAGCTACCTTACATGTCTGTGTTTTCTTCTGGCCTAATGTGCTTTTTAAATAAATGCTTCAGTAATCTTCTTTATTTTATTTTTTCCTTTTTGTTTTTGTCATCCTTATTGATAATCCCTAGTCTCCCTCTTATCTAACCTTTCTTCTCTTCCCTCCATTAGAAAAAAGAAAAACCAAACCTTTGAAATAAATATCCATATTTGAGCTAAACAAATTCCCAAATTGGCCATGTTTGAAAATGTATCTTATTCTGTACCTTGAATCCATTACCTCTGTCAGGAGATGGGTAACATGCTTTATCAGTGTTCTGAAATTGTGATTGGTCATTCCATTGACTATAGTTCTTAAATCTTTCCAAATCATTTCTCTTTACAGTGTTGTTGTACAAATTGTTCTCTTGGTTCTGTTTACTTCATCCTGTCATCAGTTTACTCAAGTCTTGTTTTTCTGAAAATGTCTTTTTTTTTTAAATTTTTATTCCTTTTAAACTTATAAAAAATAAGAAAAGAAAAAAAGAACATTGTCATGTACACAGCAGAACATAAGAGAGGATTCAATATAAAACAATATATTTCCATTTCAAGAAAACCTGCATAATAAATACTACACATTATTTTCAAAGCTACCAAACGTTTCTTTGCTTCCTTATAGGTTTTCTATTGTTCTCTGCTGTGCACTCTTTATTTTTCCCCCTCTGCCCCATATGCCCTAAAGAAGGCTATAATTAAATACATATATATATGTGTGTGTGTGTGTGCATGCATGTATACATATGTATATATGTATATGTACACACATACATAGATACCTATAAACATACACATTTATACACCTGTACACTCATACACGTATATGTTAGACTGTACTACGCACATTTCCACTTGTCATCTCTTTCTCTGAAGGTGGATAGCATCTTCATAGGTCTAAGTATTTCCATGTTTTTCTAAATCACGCAGTTCATCATTTCCTACACCACAGCAATATTCCAACACAGTCACATCCTATATGAGAAAATGTCTATCAAAGTTTTTTCCCCAATTTTCTGCATTCTTTCTATTCTTGGCTACATTGGTTTTATTTATACAAGAAATTTTAATTTAAGATTATTGAAATTATCCATTTTACACTTCAACAATGCTCTCACCTTATAATATAGTTTAAGGTCTGATACTGCTGAATCTTTTTCTTTTACATCTTTTTTCCCTGGTTTCTTTGAAATTCCTGACCTTTTGTTCTTCCAAATGATCTTGGTTATTATTTTTTCTAACCCAGTAAAGGTAACTTTTTTAGTCATTTAATTGGGATGGCATTGAATAGATTAGTTAGGTAAAATTGTCGTTTTTTATACCAACCCATGAATAATAAATGTTACTCCAGTTATTTAGATGTGACTTTATTTGTATAAAAAGTGTTTTATGCTTATGTTCATATAGTTCTGTGTCTTTTTTGGCAGGTATACTCCCAAGTATTTTATACTGTCTAGTTATTTTAAATGGTCTGAAACAATATTGAATGATAATCCTGACATATAGTATAGTTTTTCTATTTTTCTCTTGATTAAATCTATTTTAGCTTTAACTTTGTCTGAGATCATGATTACTAATTCTGCTTTTTTTTAACATAATAAATTCTACTCTTACCCTTTATTTTATCCTTGTGAGTATCTCTCATTTTTATTGTGTTTCCTGAAAGCAACATATTGTTGAATTCATATTTTTAATCTATTACCCATTTCCATTTCATGGGTAAATTCATTCCATTCATATTCTAAGCTATTGTGTATTTTTCTTCTTCCTATTTTTCCTCACTGCCTTTCTCACCCAATTTACTCTATTCCTCCTCACTCTTTACTTTTCTTCTACTCGATACCTTGCCCTCCTATTCCTTAACCTACCCACCTCTCTAAGAGTCCCTCTCTTATTTTCTTTCCCTGCCCCATCCCCCTTGTCCTCTTCTTTCTTTCTGACTTTAGAATACTTTTTTATCCTTCTAGATATATATGTTGTTCCATCTTTGACCCATTCCCAGTGAGAGTAAGGTTCCAGCACTGCCTGCCTTCTCCCCTACTAGATTCTTCTGTATTACTTCTTCATTTTATGCCTCATTTGTATGAGACAATTACTACTTTTTATCTTCCGTACGTAGTTATTTTAAGACCTACCCCATCATACACAGTTCAGCCCAACCCTTTCTTTCAAACTACCCAAATAATGTTGACAGTTATAAGAGCACTGATAATATTTTCACATATAAAAAATAAACAATTTGACCTTATTGAGTCCCTTATATTTGGTCTTTAATGTTTACTTTACATTTCTCTTGGATCTTTTATGTTGAATCTTCAATTAAGTTCTGCTCTTTTTGTCACAAATATTCGAAAGTCTTTCAGGTTATTAAGAATCCATTTTTTTTTCCGTTCAGGATTATACTTTGCTGGGTAAGTTTGTAGAGCTCTTTTGCTCTACAAAATATAGTATTCTGTCCTTCAGTATAGTAGCTGCTAGGTCTTGTGTAATCTTTAATGTAGCTCCATGATATTTAAATTGTTGGGTTTTTTTTTTCTTGTTGCTTGCATTATTTTGTCCTTAACCTTGGGAGCTTTGAAACTTGTCTATGATATTCTTGTAAATTTTCTTCCTGGGATCTCTTTTAGGTGATGATCAGTGGTCTTTTTTCTATTTCTGCTTTGTCTTGTTCTAAATGCTAGGCAATTTTCCTTGATAATTTCTTGTAGCATTGTACCAAGATTTTTTTTAATTGTAATTTTCAGGTAGTCTAACTATTCTTAACATTATTTTTCTTCCATATCAGTTTTTCTGATGAGATGCTTCACATTTTCTTCTATTTTTTCATTCTTTTGATTTTATTTTATTATTTCTTGGTGTCTTTAGAGCATCATTAGCTTCCCCTTGCCCAATTCTAGTTTTCAAGGAGCTATTTTCTTCCTTAAATTTTTGATTTTCTATTTCAAGTTGGTGGACTTTCTTTTCATAATTTTCTTGATTTTCTTGGATTGTTCTTTTTTTTTTTTCTAATTTTTCCTCCATCTCTTATTTGATTTTTAAAGCCCCCCGCCCTTTTTTTTTCTGGGAGGTAAGGCTTAAAGTAAGGGTTTTTTGTTTTTTTGGTAAGGGTTAAGTGACTTGCACAGGGTCACACAGCTAGTGAGTGTTATATGTCTGAGGCCAGATTTGAACTCAGGTCCTTCTGACTCTTGGGCTGGTGCTCTATCCACTGCACCACCTAGATGCCCCCTGAAGTTCTTTTTAAGTTCTTCCAAGAACTCTTTTTGAGCTTGGGACCATTTGACATTTCTCATTGAAAAAAGAGTAGCCTTTTTAGCTCCATTGTCTTCCTTTGAATATGAACCCTGATCTTCCCTTTCCCCATAGTAGCTGTTCTTGATTGGGTTTTTTCTCCTTTGCTTGCTCATTTTTATTTTGTTTTTTAGTAGCTATTAGTGTAATCAAGCTCTAGTCCTGAGGTGTGGGGAATGATGCCCTGAGCCTCAGGTCTTTCTTACTGTTATTTTCTGAGG